CGGAAAATTGGTCGTTCAGACCTTCCATCGTCGTTTCCAGTACGACCTTTCTCACCCTTCTCTGCTCGAAAAGTTCCACCTCACCTACCCTATTTTCAGTTTCAGTAACAAGTCAGCGCATCAGCACTGTATGGTAGGGGTCAAGATGAGAAACGTAGTAGATCGCCTCTCTGAAATTCCCCACTTACCAGAACCTTCTCTGCCAAAAATATATTCTAACTTATGTACAGTCGTAGATCCTTCATCCTGATAAAAGGGCGTCGGAGGCGCCGCAGACGCGAGCTTCCCAGCGACCGCGCCAAGTAGCAATCTGTCGGCGGGACCGAGGCCAGCTACCCCTGCGTTCTTCCTCCTGCGTATTCACCACTCGCTCGCATTGCCTGCCCATTGACGGTGCGATCATCTGATTATCTGACTCGACGAAGCCGATTTTTCTCCAAAAATCGTCTTATTTCGGCCGGCTTTCGAGAAGGTGTGTTACTTTTTTTCTTTTCTTGATAAATTGTATTAGTGTCTTGCTCTTTTTGTTGGTTTGGTGTAATTTTTGTTGTTTTAAATGCTTTTTTCGCTATTGTTTTGCATTTTTCATGTTTCGTCTGTTTTTCCCATTTCTTCCCCCCCTATTTGGCTTCTTTTTCATTACTGTGTTACTGTTTTCCTGTCTTGCTGAAAACACCCCTGACACCTGGTTTTGAAGACTTATGACCTTCTTACAACCCTTTCTCCTCAAGCTGCAACGAAATTGTGGCGGCTGTCGTGTATTTTAAATTTATTTTCGGTTATTCTTTTTTGTTTGATGTTATTCGTCATTAATTACCTTGTGTGTTCTGTGTATCGCGAAGAACACCTCTGCATGGTTTTGGAGCGTAGTTTTTTTTAAAATGAGCGTTTGTCTTCATGTTATTGTAGTGCCCGTTATTAAGCGGATGGGTGAGTGTTTCGCTCACGGAGCGAATAATGGTATACAACCCGCAAGTGAGTCCCACACGTTTGTGCTTCTAGCATAGTGGTAGCGTTCCAGAATTATAGTATACGATGTCAAGGTTCGTAATCCTTCGTGACTTTGCTCCTTTTGAATTTTCTCAGTATGCTCTCTGAAGCTTTTCTTAAAACCATTCCTCGCTTCAAAATGCAACAAGAGACGTCCACCAAGGATTCGAACCTTTGACCTCGTATACTATATTCTGTAACACTACCCACTATGCTACCGAGGCACAACGTGTGGCGACTCACTTCTGATTTGTATACCATCTATTGCCTGCCCGTAAAGCAAACACTCACTCGAGCCCTTAAATGAACGGGCATCGTAGCACATCTCATGAAAAGAGCTAATTGTAAAAAACATAAGCTCTAAACCATGCCAAAGTGTGTTCTTCGCGTATCACAGAACACACAATGGTATAGTAATGAAGAATACATCATACGAAAAAAGAATAAATAAAAAATAAATTAAAATACTCACCAGCCGGCATTATTTACGGGCAGCTTTGAGGAACACGGGTGTAAAAGCGGCTCTAGTCTTCAAAACCGTGTCAGAGAGTGTTCTCAGCAAAGACAGGAACACATCAGTGACACAGTAATGAAAAAGAAGCCAAATAGGGGGAAGAAATGGGGAAAAAACAGACGAAACCTGAAAATGCAAAAACAATATAGCGAAAAAGCATTTAAAACAACAAAAATTACACCAAACCAACAAAAAAAGCAAGACACTAATACAATTTAGTATAGTATAAGAAAATCAAAAGTAACTACTCTTTCGAAAGCCGGCTTATAATAAACGATTTTTGGAGAAAATCGCTTCGCTAGCCTATAATCAGTCTGATTGCCGCGCCAGCCGTCAATGGGCAGGCGGCAGAGTACTATGCGGCGCGTGTCGAGCGCGCAGGGAGTGAGAGGACGCAGGGTAGCTGGCCCCGCGCCGCCGACAGATTGCTACTTGTGACGCGGTCGCTGGGGCACTCGCTGTCTCGAGTCCTCCGAGCCTCCTAATCAATGGTGAAGGATTCACGACCGGTATAGCGATTGACTGCATTGCATCCTATCATTGTCCCTACCAACTTTCCCGGTTTATGATAGAGAACACGTCCATCGCACACACAGCACGCACGTCGACTCGTGCTAAATTTCTAGGTGACAAGTGTATATGAAGTGCATGTAGATTCTTTTGTTAAAACCAGTGTAGTACTCACGGCGCCTTTTAATGAATTGAATCATAAGGATCATACAACTAGTAGTTTCTGTCATACAACTTGTAGTTTCCATGTGTCGAGTATAAGTAGTTTTATTTATCAGGTATTGGCCAATAGCGGAGAAGGCGGCTGCTTCTTCTTCTCGGTTGAAAGATTCGATTACACAAAGGGTATAATGGAAAGCTTAGACGTGGAGAGGTATTTTCTTGTCTTTTTGAATTAATGCTTGAATATATCCAACAATGCGATTCAGTTATTCGAGAAATACCGAAAAGGAAAGTCTAGATGTGCTCTATCAATATGCTTCACAATAGGCGTGCGCTGAATCGTACAAGATACCAGGTAGGTGATCGGATTACTGATTGTGACATTTAAATCAGTTGTCACATGGCTTCACGTGTGAACCGCTCTTATCGTTTAGTCGACAGTTTGCCTCAGTTGCGCCGAAAGAAATCCATGACGAGGCATATCGAAGTGAATCACACCCGACTGAGACCACTGCGTTTGACACTGATGCCGCCTCTGTGCCGTCTTATCGCTCATTATTTGCCATGACATCGTTTTGACCCACCCAATAATTAATATATCGTCCTTCAGTTTGTATTTTTCTATAACTAAGAAAAATTTTAGTATGTATACCTTATGTGGCATAAGAAATGATGTATGTAACCTCAGCTTCGCTTGTGCTTTCATCAGAGAGCTGAATGAGGTTAGCTATCTTACAGATGGTTCCTGAGATCGCAGTTCGTTAACAGTCCTTGTTTTAGCTTGCTGTGGGCGTGTCGGGTTTCCTTTCTCCACCATGGTAAAGTGAGCAATCGACGTACGATTTGGTGGATAACGGCTTGGCGCCGAGCCAAGACTCTGCTCCCTGGTGCGCCCCAGCATCCCCGAGACACGGCTTGTTATGCCTGTATCAGTACGGAAGAATTGCCTGGAAGCATTGAAATGTGTCGATTGACTTCGCCCAGAATTTCGCGCTAGAAGTTTCAGGAAAAGGCGCAACCTCCTAAAACTCTCCTTGCGCGCCGCGTTTCTTCTAGCTTTCTGCTACCTGCTAGAAAAGGTCGGATCGCCGTTTCTCTCATTTCTACTGCCGAGCCTTACGCTTACCATTCTTTTCTCTACCAGAAAGTTTCAACAGGTCAGCCTGGCCATTTGCAATGAGATGCACATCGTTGTACCCGTCTTGAGACGGTGAACTCAAAACTATCTTCAAAATCTGCGGAACGATTCTCTGAGCGGAGTTATTGAGGTTTTTCTTTACTGTTTTTCTTCTTACGGGCGCGCTGGCACCGAAGCGTTGGCACCGGTAGCGCGACTCACAGCGCTCTTCGCGCAAAACAGGTATCATATTCGTGTTCAGGGGGTCAAGTAACCCTTAGGGACGCCACCTTAGCAAAATCTGAGCTTCTGACTCAACTCAAACCGCTCTCCGTCCGAAAAACGGGTATAGATATCTTATGTGCTGACTGATAGCCAACAGCGGATACTTATGGCTAATATAACATACTGCTATGACTTGTCTTCTAACGAAATAACTCTGCTTAGTATGTCTTTATTCGCAAACAACAGTACCTGTCTTTACTTATCTGTGCGTCATGCCATCATTCTTGAACATACGGCAGGAATAATCCCTTCAGAGACCATTCACTTCGATTGGAGTGTGGCTCAGTCTCTGCTGACTTACCCATGATACAGCCCACATTTTCCAAGTGAGCTCGCATAATTCAGATGTGCTAAAACTTGTCTACCTAAAGAAGATGGAATATCCAAGTAGGTCACCTGACCTGAATCCCCTCAATTACCCGGTTCGGGCGGAGTTCAATAGGGTGGTCTACGGTGGCGGAGAAATCGACTATCTCGCTGATCTCAGGCACCACATCGCGGTCGCGTGCCAGAATCTCTCGATGGCGCTCGTCCAGAAGGCTGTGGCGGAGTGTCATGATAGTATTTAATATGCTCTTTAATATGGTGGTAAAAATGTCCGATCAGAATTTAATAAAGTGTAACTTATAGCGCCTCGAAAGTCAATGAAGAAAAGTGACTTTTTTGGCCCCCTGTATATGCAGTCTAGCGTATTCTCCCAACCCCTCTGCTGAAGGTGTCCCAGCATCAATACGATTGAATTTTTAACGGTACGTATCAAATCACATCTATCGGTCGTGACAGTTCAGATCCTCTAGAGGGGATGTGGTTGAAAACTAAGTGGAGCAATGCCCAAAATATACACCTGGTGGACCTTTGCGAGCGTGTGCTCGATTGCGAAGGTAAAGCAGTTGCAGTTCAATACTGACTAAAGTCGATCTCCTTTCAATCGCGCTAATTTCACCATTTTCATCATTATTTATGTTCATGTTTAGGAAGATTATAATGCCTACTACGGTGGGATTAGCAATGGTCTCTTGTGGCCGGCACTTCACAATCTTGCGGAATACATCGTGAAGGAGTATGATGATCCTGCTGTGAGTTTTCAGTAATATTTGTACCTGAAATTCTCGTCGTTTTAAGAAGTTAGACCCGCGATATGTGCTCCGGATGCGGTCATTTCTCTAGCTAGTCAGGACATGTCGCGCTGTCTCGATGAGATGGTGTAGACGAGCAAACACGACGTGGACTTGCATCGCCAGAGAGTGGCTCTCTCGAGGCACATAGCGCCGCAACCTTATTTAATTCGGACTTTGAGTAAGAACTTTCAAGGTTCTCCGTGAACATTGGTGTGCTTATGTACGTGTGAACTACCAGTTCGGTATTAATGCAGCGCGTAACAGCCGTCCTCAAGATTTCATTTGGATCCATGATTACCATCTCATGTTAACTGGTCAGATTATGCGCAGTTTAGATAGCAACCTTGAGGTGAGTTCAGGTTCTGTTTAGTTTTCACCTAAACATGTCAATTCTTCATAACCACATTCCGATCAGGTTGGCTTCTTCCTTCATATTCCGTTTCAACCGCCGGCAAACTTCATGACAAAGTATAAGATTGTCGCTGATCCTATATTAAGAGGTATCCTGCGCTTCACAAAGGTAAGCAAGCTTTGTTCATGTAACTGTTTCTTCATGGGCACGCAGTCCGCAGCGATGCATTTGCCCCGAGTCTCTAACTTGGAACGAAAAAGGCAATATCGACGCTTTTCACTCTGGGAGGCCTGCAGTTTTGCGTCGGTGCCTAGTAGCCGGTGCAGTAGTCTCCAATTCTAAAAAAAGCGTGACCTTGAGGGTAAGCCACTTTGAACTGATGCTAATTTTTTTACACATGGTGATGTTTCACCCGTCCCAGGGCTAATGCCGTTTGGACTCCAGCAATTTCGGCACCGAGCTCATTTTTAAATTGCCTAAGTCACCAAATCCGCTAAAAACTTGTATGTAGGGGTAGTTTAACATCCTGATTACGAATATGACATTCACTCTTGCCGCATATCTGCGCTCCGCTAAGGCTGAGCCCAAGAGGTAATCGTAGTGTCATCCCTTGGCGCCAGCGCCAAGAATGAGTGTCATAATTGTAATCAGGATAAGGATATAAGTCT